GTCAGGTAATGCGTGGTGGCATCTGCCGAGTGCTCAGCCCATGGCAGGCGTGCGAGCATCTGTCAAACCTTCTGAAGATGAAGCTGAGGTGTTTGTGTGTGTTTTGGTCTCCTGCTTAGATTACCCGAAAATTCAGGCTGAATTCTGAAGGCAAATTGGAGCAGACGGTCTCCATGGCAACCACTACCCAGCCGATGACTCAGCATCTTCACATCACCTACAAGAAGGTGACCCCATGAACCAGCGAGCCTCGTCCTTGTCCTCAAGGGCGGGGCCTCCGGGAATGTCCTAGCTGCTTGTATCTGACAGTTTGGCTTGGCCGCGTCCCTGAAGCAGAGCCGTGTGGCCTGGAAGCACTGCGGGCACAAGAATGTTGTTCAGATGTTCCTGTAATGGAGTCGAAAAACCAAATAAAAGGCCTTTATTTTTATGGCTGAGGATTTTGAATATTATCACTGTGTAGACTGTACGTTTTTTCATCTGCTTGTGATTGTTTTCCAAAGTCTTTATTCTAAGAAATTAAGAAGGGATGTCTCTTCCCTTCTTTTCTTTTTTTTTCCTGCAGTTTTGACAAGAGCTAAAATATTTATAAATCTTCCATGAAGTAGGCAACAATAACTGAAGGCAAAGTTGGGAAAAAAGGCTGCAGCCTATTTTTTGTTACCTTTACAAAAAGATAACAGAGGCCAAGGACCCAGCCACTGTGGTCAGAGGGCCCTCGCTCCCAAGACGAGAGACTGCTTGTTAATTTAGCACTGTTATGTGAATTCTGTAATATACTACTACTTTTGTCTTTTGTTTGCTTTGTTTACCATGAAGCTTCCAAACAAACACCCCATCACCCAGGTTCAACAACTGCCGAGTTCCTCTGTGTGTGTGCTAGAGCATTTCTAAGCAAATTCCAGACATAATGGCATTCACCCTTGAATGCATTGATGGGCATCTAAGATCAAAATGACACACTTTTCTTTCTCTTAACACGCAGTCCACGAGACCTGGCCACACGTTGTTGGGAGCGGGAAGTGTCACAAGGGGGTGATGCTTTGGCCCCCACCATGAGTGCTGCAGGAGGCGCCCTGCTCCAGGCTGGGGACGGGCGCTGCGCGGTGGTGTTGCTCGGCCTTGGGTGTAGTCTTGGGTGTAGTGGGGGGTGTGGCCAGCACGCGGGGACCAAGATGAGAGCGAGTGCTGGAGCCGCCCTGAGGGAGCCTGGCGCTGCGGGAGTGATTCCAGAGAACCTGGAGGCACCATGGAAGTGCTCCCCGCCCCCATCCTGGGCTCCTGCCCACTGCCA